AATGGCCATCCTCACAGAGGTAGTGATGGGCCAGCAAATGGCCATCCTCACAGAGGTAGTGATGGGCCAGCAGCATGTTGTGCCGGACAAATGTACAGATTTCTTACTAAGTTCACGGCAGAGGATGATGTGGAGGTATATCTCCATGCGTGGAGACTCAGCAAACTGCATCCCCTTTCTGAGTGGGGATGTCCAGCACGCCTACCACTAAGTTTCCATTGAGCGAGGCTGTGGATTATCCTCTGTAGAAGATGCAGATCCTGCCTGGGGGGTCACTAACCTGCTGAAGCAAGATTTCCATCAATGGAAGTTCACCCGATACGAAACCCAAAGTCAACTGGGCTATTGAGGCTCACACAGCTCTGGTTTAGAACAAATGCTTACCCCATCCCACAGGTGGATGGTGATGGACGACTATATATGAGCCCCAATCTATGTGGTGCAGATCACGATTGGGCACGTGGTCTCCATGATGCCTTATGAGCTGGTGGGAGTAGCCGAAAGGTTGGATGCTACTCGCTCCATGGCCTGCAGCAGCCGGCCACACAGAAGAGCGTAGCCCCGGTGAGAGACCAGACCCACTTCCTGTGAGCTGGCTCCAGAACAACGAGCTCAGAAGGGCACCTCGACCCAGGAACGCAAGGGCGCAGACTGGGCCCACGCTGAGTCTGCAAGGACCGTTGACTGGAGACTGGGATTACAGTCAACTACTAAGCATAACTGGCATTTGGATCACAAATATATTAAACAAACGATAAATGCATTTAGTCCAGGACTGAAGGCATAGATAATTTATGGATTTCTGTATTGTTTACTGCAGTGAAGATGTGCGACGTTGGAGATAAGATGTGTCAAAGGAAGCCAAATATGATACAGGATGCAAATTACCTTCTTGCTGTTAGATTTGGAGGATCCAGAATAAGACAGGAAATCAGGCAAGCAGGCTGTTCGCCCCCCCATGTAGACTGGGGGGAATGGGCTAACAGCCCCGGCCTGGTTGCACATATCTAACTTTTTAGCCAATGAGAGATTGGCAGATTTTTGTTGGATTTAAGGTCACTGACAGGGTCAGTAAAGAGCTCAGTGTGGTGTTTCTTAACCCAGTCTTCGAGGACCCCTAAGCAATCCACTATTTGGTTTCCTCCCAGCTTCTAACACACTTGTACTGGGTATTTCGGGGATCTCGATTGGCTGGGAGCTGGGAGCTGGGAGGGAGTGAAAATGTGGATAGGGGTCTCTAAGGACTGACTTAACTAGGCTATTTAAAGCTACTTTGTTGATTGAACTATGAGTTCAGTTAAGTCCAGATAAGTCCACTTGAGGCAGGGAGAAAGCCTGGACTCAGTCCCAAACGCCTTTGATTGGTCCCGGAGTTCCATAAAGTAAAGGCTTCTTTGTGGGTTATCCTAGCCTCTGCTGCTAAAGTAAGGCAGGGGGACCTGGTGCAGGAACGCCGCAGTGCTCCAGCCGTCTGGTGCTGGGTGAAGGTGACGTTGCTGCTGGAGAGAGGCACCTGACAGCTTTGTCAGCGCTCTCCTCTCCCCGGACGAACAGGGCTTGTCAGCGATGACAGGGCACGATAGCACGTCGCTGCAATGCGGCAGGGGGGGGGCCCGGCCTCCGCAGGAGAGGTGCTGGCCCCGGGAGCCGTGCACTGCGCCGCTTCCTAATCCCCACACCACATCCAGCCCCCGTCAGATTAGACGCGGGGGGCCGGAGGGACCCAAATCAGCGTGTCCTGGAAGCGGCTCGCTTATGATGATGCAGTTCTGAGAAAAGTGCACGTCACCATCCAGGGGACCTTCGCCATGTAGGTTACGTTTGTGATACACATTTGCTGAGACTCAATCAATGGGACCATTATCACATATCAGGCAGCAAAGCTCATATAGTACATGCATGTTTTGAAATCACTCAAGGCAGTAACTTTTCATCTAATGAGAATCATTTGATTTTCAGCAGGTTTTTGGACAAATGTGTTAAAGTTCACACCCCAATGTTATCACTGCATATCCACTCTTCCTGTTTCTGTATTAATGCCATAAACCGTGTGTATTGTGATGTGAGCTCAGGGGTGGGGTGGGTCGTTGTGACTAGTCCTGAAAGCAGCTTGTCACAGATGGTCACACCAGGTCCTGTCACTCCGGCCGTTCCTCGCTCACGCCCCTCCACGATGCAGCACAGTGAGCAGAAATGGACAGTTGAGACCTTCTTCTGGGGGTGGGGGGGGGGGTAGGTTTGAGGAGGTTGCACTTGTTAGTAACATCTCCATTTAAGTGCGAGTCACAGGCTGTCACAGGCTGCCGCAGGTCCCTGGCCTTGTGCATGCGCGTGAATGACAAATCTCTATGTGCGTGACAGGAAAACATCACCATTCTCAGAACTTACTGTCACTCTCTGCGAAAATACCAAGTGCCCGGATATTTCTGCACTCAAATTATTAGTAAAAAAGATTCATAGATTTATTCAGAGGCCAGAGAGAAAATTACAGCAAGCTAATAATGCTAATCTTTTTATCCTGTTTTTTTCTTTTATGTGATTCCTCCCCACAGCACCGGCTCTACAGGGATGAAGAAAGAAGCAGTACTTCAGGAACAAGGCCATGCGCAGAGTAAGTATGAATCAGGTTTCCTTCCAGTCCATTCTCTGTCCCCCGGAGTCTCAGTCTCCTTTTATGGGCATGCCATTTGTGGAGTCAAATGAGTCATAAGCCTGCAGATACAGACAATGCACCCCCCTCCAGCTATCACACGCATGCAGCGGAACACACGCTCACGTGGCCAAAGCCAGATCTCTCTCATGTAAACATGCGTTCTTCACACATAAGCACTCGGACATTCAAACGCTCCCTTTATATCTCCACTTGCAGGCACAGCTGGAGTCACAGCTGGAGTCACCGCTGGAGTCACCGCTGGAGTCACCGCTGGCAGCTTCGCTGCTCATTTCCTGCTTCCATCGTGAGTCACGAGGCATAATCGACCCAGACTCCTGCCGAGTGTTTTTTTAAATAGAACATTTTCAGACCCGTTATCTTTCCCAGAAGATAACGAGGTGTGGTAGAGCAAACAAGGGCTGAAAAAAAAAATCTACTATTTTCAATGGGGAGTTAAGCAGCCTCTGGGAAAATAAGAAGCAAAAGGCTTTTAGAAATCAGATGGCTGTTACATGTCATTAATACAAAACAGCACGCTTTCCAGTGGGGGGGGGGGGCAGTCTGTATTCCATCAGATCTCTGAGAATCTTCCTCTAGCTCTTCTAGCTTGATCACACATTGCTGATGTGCTGTTCCCTCCATCACTGTGTGTGTATGTCTGGAATCTGTCATACACCACATGTTGCCAAGGATAAGATTATCCCGTCTCGATTATCCCTCTGCAAGACTCTATCTGGATTCACAGTTTCTATCATTTTTGTCTAGTGGGAAGGGTGCATAAAGTAACAAATTATTTTACACTAGTTACTTTACACCAATTATTTTACACTAGTTTTTTTACACTGAGAGGTGCCCTGTAAATGTAGCATCTCCACGGCCTCTTGTCATGCTGTTCTCTTTGGGGGGACCGGAGGCGCCATCGGGGGTCACTCCCCTGTGGCCAGAGTACTGAGGGTCTCCAGGCCCCCTGTGGCCAGGCATGTCTGCCGCTCCCCAGGGCGAATCAGGCGCTCATGTATCAGGGGCCAGACTACCGCCTTGCCTGAGACTGACTCCCATATGGCGCGGGAAAAAAAAAAACTCCCACGCAGGCACAGAAATACATGCGTGTCGAGGGAAAGGCAGAATGGTTGCTGGGGCGGCCTGCGGGGCTCCACCAAACGCATGCGAGAAACACCGGGTATGCGTGCTGTTCTGCACACACACCCATCCATCCGTCCCTCATAACCGCTTATCCAGTACCGGGTGGCAGTGAGTCTGGACCATCTCCCAGGCAGCATAGAGCACAACACTCTAATCAGTCCATCGCTTGCTCCAAAATTTAGAATCGACGATTCACCGAAACCATCTGTGGGAGGAAACCCACGTGGAATCAGGGAGAAAATGCAAATCCCACACACGCAGACCCGGAGGTCGGAATGAAACCTCCAACCCTGGAGATACGAGGCCGCAGCTCTACCCACCATGGAACATTTCAGAGAACAGAAGCTCAGAGAAGCTTCCTCATTATCCTGCAAACAGAATGAGCGGCACGGTGGACGGCGGCCCCAAAGCAGCATTATGGGAGACAACCGTGACGGCGAGAGAGACACAGCAGGTGTGAGGAATGAATCACTCTTTTCACACGACAAAGGTTAAGCCAGTGAAATGCGCAGCCATTGGCTTATTAACATCTCCGCTCACCTGCTGTTCCCGAACCGCAGCTTGAAAAGCACCAGTTTTAATGCTGGATCCTTCTTTCCTGCGCTCAGATCTACTGATGTTTTCTAGGCAAGATCTGATGTTTTGTTTATGTACTAACTGGCTACTAAACAGTACAACAGATCAAACAAAGTATCTACATCAATCCATCATCCGCGGCTGCTTATCCAGGACAGGGTCTGGGTGAGCCTGGAGCCTATCCCAGAATGCACAGGGCACGAGGTAGGGGACACCATGCATGGGATGCCAGTACATTGCGGGGCACACAATCACACATGCTCACACCCACATTGGCACCCCTGAGACACTGCAAATATGCATCGCAGTTAAGGTGGTCCACAATTATTCTGCAAAAAACATCTTCACTGTGTCTGTAGCATACAAAAATCAAAATACAAATAATTTAATACTATACATTGTGGGACCTTAAATATTTTGTTATAATGATGAACAAAATTCGGTGTACAATATTTTGCAGAGAAAAAAAGCATGAAGGTTGTACAATTCCATTAAATTTCATTCATCCACCTATTTTTTTAACCACCCATCCATCCATTTTCCAAAGACTTATGCGGAGTAGGGTTGGGGGGGGGGGAGTTGGATCACAGGTAGCACAGGGCACAAAGCCTGGATGAAATTTAGCTGTCCACAGAATGACAGAAAGACCCTCCAGACCATGTAGGCCGCAAAGATGACTCATGCATTCAGAAACCATGAGATTTGACATGGTGGAAATGCGCAGACAGTGGGATCTGTAGAGTTTAAAGACACAAACAAGATTTTACAGGGATGAGACCAAGCTACGTTGCTTAGATAATGAAGACCTCCTCTGGAGCATCACTTACCCAGCATGCTCTTGTTGGGCTCGGACAGGCACATGTCCTTCTCAGCACTGGGCAGCACGAACCCCACGACGAAGATCTCCACACCGTCGGCCATGAGTGCCAGGCCCAGAACAACGTAGAGGGTCCACTGGAAACGTCCGTGGCCGCACTCCTGCAGGATGGTCTCGTACTGCTGGGCCAGCTCTTCCCTGTCCTTCCGCCTCTCACCCGCCTGCTCGCCAATGTCCCGGAACTGGGCCCCCGCCGGTACAGCGCCCCCAAGCTGCCCATCTGCCTTCTCAGAGTCAGCCCGTGGAATTCCCTGATACTCCCCCTCGTAGATCTCGTCATCCTCGTCATGACCCTCAGTGGAGTCGCTGTGGGCGCCCTCATCGTCGTCGTTGGCCCGGCTGTCACTGCGGTAATAGCCTCCATCCGGGCCCTGGACTGGATAGTCATCATCGTCATCCTCCTCGAAGCGTGTGTACGAGCGCTTCGAGTACTCGTCCGACATCTTGTCGAAGCCCCGGCCAACCTTCTTGCCGGCCTGCTTCTTCACCTCTTTGGCAAGGTCTTTGGCGCCGCGAATGAAGGCTGTTCGGTCTCTGTAACCTTCCTCCATTTTGAAAGGGTCCAATCAAACAACAAACCTCAAAAAGTGCTGTGCTGTGTCTCAGCGATTCCGGTCAGATGTTCCACTGTCGTGATGCAAGTCTCTTGATCGGTGATTTAGTCCAAAAACTCCAAATGTAGCTTTAGCTGCAGAGAAGAATTTCCTCCAGTAAGCCTGAAGACAAAAGGAAGACTATGTAAGTATGATATTCCTTTTTCACTCCGACAACCAAAACAATTCTCACCAAGGGAAAATATAGCCCTCAGAGACAGAAACACATGTAATTATTATTCATGCTATAACTTCTTAAAACTCTAAAAAATAAAAGCCTTATAATCAATCAAAAATTCACCCAAATCAATAATGAATGATTCTTATGTAGATCTCAAAAGGAAATGAATACATAATAAAAAAATAATAATAAGGGCCAAACTTCACTTGTGTTCGCACTCAAGGATGCAATGGGACTGGACCAAAAATTCACTTGAAGCTAAGACTGAACAGATAAGGAGTTCCCCATTAATATAAACAGGAAATTCAAGATATCAAATTCATCCATAATAAGAATGGCTATCCAATGTATGACAAATGTCCATTTTTAAAAGAGCGATGCAAGTGTGCCGGGAAGTCGTGAATGCACGTGACCGCACAAGGCGGCTGTTAGCACATGCTCTTGGTTCTACCCAATGTTACCAAACCTACGACTGCTACAAAGTCCATGTCGTGAACATGGCTACTGAGGTCTGACGGGCATTTGCTGCTCCGCTGCATCAGTCAACGAGAACGTGAGATGTGTGAGGGGACTTCACTCCACTGCAATGCGCACAGCCTCTTCTGACGGTTATAAAACTCGCGCAATGATAAAACTCTCCAGCAGTCTTCAGTGTATAACCATGTGACCATCTGAAAATAACACAGTTTGAAATCTGGGATATGATGTTAAGTAAAAGGTGTCAATCCACAGCCTCCGCAAAGCACAGGAGCTGTGTGGGTAGTGCAGCTTTTGGGCGCCGACTTCCTCTATAGGCGCCTTGCTAGTTCTACTAGGACTGGCGTTACTGCTTGTCAGTGGGGTGCTGCACTCCCCATTCACCAGTCCCAGGCACCGGCCACTCAGACATCAAGCTAACAAAGAAAAAGAACATAAAACTGAATATGACATAAAAATGGAGTAGAGTCCTCCAATATCTCCTCCGAGACCTCCTCCTCTATCTACTCTTAGACCTACCCCAGACCTCCTCCTAGACCCGTTCCTAGAACAGCATCATAGCACAAACACTCAGAAAATGAGTGGAAGGGCGAGAAAAAGCTCAAGGTCAGTCCTCCTGGAGACAAACTACCATTTCCGTCCACTGCCATCCCCCCATGAGTAAAGGTTTACAAGCTGGGGAGATATGGTGCGCTCGATTGTCTCTCCGAAGTCGTAAATTCCGTAGTCGTTCGTGACGTTACGCACTTATCTGCCGTTCGAGCTACACAACTCGGAACAAACATGGCTGCCTCCATGAACGCGCTGCTGTGTGTTGTCGCTTTATATCTTAGCAGATTTGGAGTGAGAGTATTTTTCCCAAGAGACAAACAAACAAGAAGCACGAACTAGTCAAACCACATGAAAGGCTTTATAAAATTTTTGTACATCCATAGCGATATTCTTTTTTCCAGAGGCAAACAAACTACAAACAAACAAAAGACACTAACAAGTCTGGTAAAAATCTGATATTGCATGGTAGGATACTGTTTAGGGTCATGATATGGTATTCTCTAAATCGACCACAAGCAATTACATTTTTTACTATTAATACATTTAACAAAATAAACATTTTTAAATATATATAAAATAGAATTACTGTAGAAAAACTCGGGACAACAAAATTCTGTCCGATATCAACGTCGGAAAGGAGGCAAGATTGGACTGTCGTTCAATCTTGGCTATGCAGTGCTGGGTGGCAGGTCAGCGGGCAGGCCTGCGGGCAGGCCTGCGGGCAGGCCTCCTGGGAAACAAGCGTCTCAAAAGGAAACCACGGAAACGGAAACGGGACTGGAAAGGGAAAACAAACACCATCGACTTTCATCCTTAGCGGTTTTCACCGTTACTCTCATTGCCAGCTGGGGAATAACTGACGATCCTTTTTGAACATTCTGCTGCATTACAAAAGGAATCAGATGTATTCAAATAACAGTTTCTTCATTTGTGCTGAGATTATAAAGTAATATTTTAAACACTGCACATCGACTATAAATAAATGGGACCCTGCAGGTGATGGGCCCTCTGCAGCAGCTACACGGCTGTTCTCCAAATTTCTTCCTGCCCTTGGTTGTTTTTTGACAGGGCGGTCGGATGATATCAAAAGCCTCTTTGAAAAACTCAATTATCCGTCTGGCAGGGGGCCTCGCAGAGCGATATCGTCCGATTACGCAACGGCTGCCAAGCTAGCAGCATTAACACCTCAGGTCCAGCGCACTTGTCAGGAGGCCATGATCACCCGGCGTCACGGGCAACCCCCCCACCCCGCTCCGACGGCAAGGAAGCCCTATCTCCATCCGTAATCGGCATTCCCACAGCACGGGAAGGGGGGAGGGGGGATGTGCGGATGAAGATACTATCATTCCCTGCTCACGTCGGGTATGGATTGTGATAATGATTCATGCAAAAAAAAAAGTGATTTGACATTTCTTGCTTTTAAAAATACCATATGCCATGACAAGCTGGTCAAGGGGCTTCGTGAGGGCTATGGGAGCCTCGCCAGAAATTGTCGGCTGCAGGGCGGCTCAAGTTAATCATGCTAGCTAAAATATTCCTCCTCATCCTCACCATCGGGCTGCGGAGAAAACCAAGCCTATTTAAACGCCCACCCAACCCTGGGCAGAAGATCCACGGAACGTAGAACCACAAGCGTTCCACCATCGAGGAGAAAACAGGACGGATGGGGAGCTGCAGGTCCCCATCCAACTTTCCACCACGCGGCCTATCTGCAGGTTACGTACGACACCAGTGAGCGGCACCCTCAAGAGATACAGGCAGCCGTGGGAGGGGAGGTTGATGAAGGGGAGGAGCAATGAGCGGTGACCCATAACGACAGGAAGTGGAGAGAAAGGTGTAGACAACCGAGTGTGTGGAGTCTGCATGCGGTGCGAGAGCAGGGAATGAAATAAAGGACACATCCAACCACTGGTCAGCAACATTTCCTGGACGGGGTCGTAGAGTCATATAAATTCATTGTTTAGATAGTTTAAAGCAGGGGCATATGATATATGATATGTTCCCCTTCTGTATGAATTATGTCTTTAAGTGTGTTAAATGTACATCAATACACTGACAGTGTGAAAAGCCCCTTTGCTCGTTTCCTACAATTACACGCTGCTTTGGTGTGAATCCACACTAAGCTATCTGGCTTTATTCTTCAGTCAGACGTTGTCCTCCATTTTGGCTTGCACCACACGCACCCTCTGATGTTCAAAAACATCAGAATGTGATTAAATATTGATTAAATTGTTAAAAGTCACATAAAGAAGCCTATCATTTCTGTCCACAGTATCTCTGTGTTTATCCATGAACGGAAGGAGGCAGAAGCTGAATTTAGGCTGTTTTTATACCGAATTCATTTATTGATGGCAAACCATCACCTGGCCTCACTGGCAGCACATTAGCAGAGGTAGAGGATGTCAAAAAATTGGAACAAAGGACCCTAAGTGGTAACCAACCTTGTAAAGAACAAATTATCCCGACTTTGCGTATTACCTGCCAATCTATGACACAGCAGTAATACGAGGGCAGAGCAGTGTGACAGTAATGAGGGAACGAGGCTCCGCGGACAAACAGAGCTCCAGTTTTATGTCTAAACATCAGCTGTGCTTAATGCTGCAGGGCTTTTCGAGGCTTGTTATGCCTAATGACACTTTCTCCTGTAACTCTTCCCAGCAGGATTGCGTCTATAAAACAACAACCTCAACCTGCAAACAGGGGCCTTGAGGAAACCTGCTGGAGAAGTGTGAAAATCCCAGGATGGACAGCTGTTTCAGAGATAGTGGAAACACCACACATGGCATCGACTATTCAAAGTTACTAACGGCAGGCATCTTAGCCATCTGAATGCCTACTGAAACAGTAAGTGAACCATGTCTGTTATCCCATAGCTGGTCGCTTATGTATCCTGGAGTCTACACTTTTGTGTGTTGGAGTCTTACAATGGTCCAATGCTAATGTACACTTATTACCAGGTTTTCGTTGGAAGCTCAGCATAGGTGCACTTGTGCCAAACATAGATGCCTGCATGCTGCATGTATTCAAAGGCAGCCACACGATTCACCGTTTGGAGGATTTTTAGTAGGAAGGTGTACTTAATAAACCGGTCACTGGGTGTATAAATTGTTATTGAAAAAGTGAGAAGAGCTAATGTGAAAAAACAGACAAACCCAAGCCAGCCACAGATGGTCTACATAAAAGGGTTTGTTTGCTGCAAGACCTGATTAAAACCTGCAAACAACCACAGTGCCAGTACTTCAAACACTTTGCGTTGGGAGCTTCTGACATTCTACTAAAGAAGTTCCAAAGTATCACACATGATCTCTTTGTTCAGAGAACTGCAATTCTAGTGGTGCACCAAATGTGGAAATTTTAGCCAATATTGATAACCTATATATTTTTGTCTAGTATTACCAATAGAGATAAACAATAAGTGGCTAATCTCTGAGTTCCACAAATCTGTCCTGAAATTGATGTTGGTGAAGATCCTGTGAATGTGTGTAGCAATTACATTTTATTTATTTATATATATATATATAATGTAAGAAATGAGACACCAGCAAAGTTGAGCCACCTTGAAAAGGTGTAGTTAGGTCCTGAGTGCTCAATGAGTGATGCGATCCCTTGTCCTCCACTCTGATTGGCCAATGTAATTATCTCCATTATCTTAGTAGTTATGTCTTGGGCTCTCATACTGCTACCTTTAAATACTGATACAGTTTAAATATTGGCTGAAAATAGTGGCCTAGCCTGACACAACGGACTAATGCCATTGTCTTGATTTATAAGGAAAATTGGCCAGTACTGATTTTAAACAATGTATTGTGCATCCCTAATCAATCCCTTCACAATCAAGAATTCTCATGGCATAGTATGAAGTAACTACTCCAGGAAAAACCCTGGTTTCTCTGAGCATGAAAATGTCTGTGAA